GCTGTTCAGTCTAAAACCCAAAGATCTATCCAACTAAATTCACCAAGCTGGAATAATGAAACCCCCCCCAGGAGACACTATAATCAAGAGCCTCAAACCAAGAACCAGAATCTGCAGGCTGATCCAAGGCTAAGTAGACTTAGTGGTTAGTTTCATTGCAACAAAACAAACCATTCTGCAAAATTTCCCCCTGAGTTTTCAGGAAACTGAGATGTCAGAGACTGGGAGAGTGAAGCCTGTGAGAAGAAAGAACCGCTGCTGAAGGCCTGAGATGCTAACCTGCTGATTACTGGAGAAAACTCTGAATTTATCAAACTGAGATCAACAAAGTTTAAAATTAGGGAAAGGGTGTCCCATATAGGTCTTTGATGATGTTTGATCATTTTGGGAGATTACTGTTGTGTAAGACAAGCTAACAAATTGGTAATGGTGACCTCATGGTTTAAGCTGTAAATCTAAAACAACCTTTATTTCACTGAGGGTTTAAACACTTGATATCATGTCAGTTTGTTTCCTCATATGAACACAGAGTCATTTAGTCCACTGTCTGCTAGCTGTTCTCTAAATCAAACCAGGTTAAGAATCGATTGACTGAAGGCTTTTAGTTACTGATTAAGCAAATTATTTAACAGTAAAGTTCCCCCCCTCCCTCCAGCAGGGTTAATGACCCCATCCTGGTGCAGAATGGATGCAGTTCATTGGCTCTGTCCTGCAGACCTCCATCTGTCTGATCAATCTGAAATCTTCTTCATCTCTGATGATGTTCTGCTTGTTTTCCAGCCTCTTCCTCGTTGCCTCATTGTTTTCTCTGATCTTCAGTTGCTTCTCTATTCTCCTCATTAATTCCCCGTCTTCCTTCTTAAAGGCTGTTTTTTCTGTTCAGAAGTTCCTTCAGATCATCTGTGATCCGTGGTTCATTATCTGGGAAGCAGTTCCCTGTCCTGGTAGGGATGCTGTTATCTACAGGCAGTCAGTCACACTCAGTCATTGCATTGCTGTCCTCTCACACAGAGCCGACACAGAGCAGGTTCTGCAGCAGCTTCTTCCCCACCGCCATCAGACTGACCAACTGTTGGGGAAACTCTGCATCACACTGATAACAGCAAACCAACAACACTGCATAACTGCACCATAGATATTAATGCTCTGAACTTCCAGATCAACACTTTTTTTGCACCATGTTTTTTCTCCCACACTGTTTACATTTGATCACTGCTGATCTTTAAGGATGGAAATGTTCAATTAGTGTCTGAAAAGATGCACTAAATGAAATTTCCTTTTGCATAAACTCTGTGGATTCAAAATGACAATAAGAGTTGTCTAAGTTCTCCTTGCTCCTTCAACACCTCCTCTTTACCTCGGCTGGTAATCTGGATGTAGTTCAAGTATCATTTCTGCTTTAGATATTTAAATTAGCTGCTCATGGGAACATAAAAAAAATCTTGCTATGGTTACGCATCATAAGTGTCCAAAAAGGAAAAAAATATCTTTCAAGTTTCATAGTTTTCAACACCAGAAACAAAATGATCAGAAAACGAATCTCAGATCTACAGACTATGAATGAGTCATGGATCATGCAGGAAGTCCTTACCATATATGAGCCAGAATGTTCTGAGAAAGTCCAGACTGCATGAAGATGTCCTTCACTTCCTGTCCGCTAACAAAGCCATCAAGATCAGCATCCGTCTTGAGGAAGATGTCGTCATAGTGACCGCGCTCTGACAGTGGTACAACCCAGTTCAGTGAATGCTAGAACATGAAACCACACATACACACCTTCATGTTCCTTCATGGTCTCTGTGCTTCATAAATGAGACACAGTCAGAACAACAGGTTTGTTTCTATTGTTCTAGATGGAAAAAGGACAGAAGATAGAAACATTGGAACTAGAACACAGCAAATCAACTACAAGTATTTCTTCTTGGTCTGAAATGTTCACTGTTGTTAGCTGATACTGTAACCATGGTGACCGAGCCTCCTGCTCTGAGAAATAGCGGCAATGCACTGGAGAAAAAGGAGCTTCTGTAATGTCTAGTGATGGGAATGGTCTTTAAGATAGAAAAACTATGTGTTTGTTTTGTTGGACTATTTAAACAGTTTAAAATTTCCTGGCTCTACGTCAGACCTTGATATAGTATCACTCCTCCTTGTAGATGCAGAAGACAGTTCCTGCATACAGAAATAAACTAAACCAGCACTGTGGGCCTTTCCCAGTCTACATTTAAACAGACGTCATTGAACACCTGGATGAGGACAGTCTGCACTATGGGGAGAAACGAAGCCTGACTGGAAGCTTATAACAGCAGCTTTCAATGATCTTACGGATGAAAGGGAGGTTTGAGAGGAACCTGATAACCCTAGATAGATAACCCTATCCTGTGTGGAAGTTCTTTAACAAATGGCCTAAAACAGCAGAAACTGACCCAGGTTTGATTTACCTGTCCTGACTTCAGGCTGTGTTTGGGGGACAGGCTGCCGGTGCTGTTCAGGGAAGTCATGCTGCCATGGGAGGGTGTGGAGTGGAGTGAGTCCTTCAAAGGGGGGGGGCTGGCTGGTATCCCAGGAACAGGACCAGTCATTGAGCTCAGACTCCTCTTTCTCTTTGATGGAGGGATGAGGGCCGAGGGGAGAAGGGCGGGGATGGGCTCCTTCTCTAGAGCCCGGTACACCAGGTGCATGGCCTGCAGGGAGAGGTTCCGCTTTAACTGCAACTTTTCTCAGAACAACAATCAGTCCACAGCCACCAGCAGAGGCCTAAGGCCAGACTAAGTTTATCTATAAACCAACAGACTGTAAAACATTTAAGATATGAAAAACAGAAGTTCACATCCTACTAATGTGTTTGTTTCTTTGAGGTTTCTCCCCGTCTATGTTTAGTGTCGGATCAGATCACGGGTAAGAGGTGGATTAGCTCAGCCTGCTGCAGGCAAAGTGGCCAGGGTTGCTAACAGCACAAGCTAGCAGAGCTAGCCATAGCTCAGACAGTTGGCACAGCTACGCTGAAACCTGTCAAGGCTACGCTGAAGGTTGTCACGGCTACGCTGAAGCACTGCATGAAAAGTGGGATTTTCGTCAATATGCGGCACTGTAGATTGTCGTGGAACTTCAGGTTAGCGGCAGTTTACGGCAATTTACAGGCTTCACCGAAAACTCCCGTAAATTGTCAGAAATTGACGTAGACTTTCTTAGGCAGTGTTCCCCCCATGCCCCCCCCCATGGAATTCTAGGGGAGGCTTTAACATGTAAATGAACATGCTGTGAGCTATACAAATGCAAATCAGGGTTGCAGGGGGGGATTTACTCCAAGTGACATTTTTCTAAAAGGTAAGAAAATCTCTGATACAAAGAGATCAGGCTCAGTATAGCCTCTTAAATTTTAGCTTGAATTGATTTATTTAATTAAAGTATAGAGACCAAAACAGATCTTTAGCTGACAGAGCAATACATTTAGAGCAGTAATTATTAAAAAAATAAAAATTGCATTTAAGATAAAAAAATATAATGTCTGTCAATATGCTCAATTCACAATAACTTAAGTGGAAAAGTTTTAAGAAATGAGTCTGAGATGATTCACTTTATAACATGGCGCATTATCCTGTTGGAAGTAGCCATCAGAAGATTGGTACACTGTGGTCATAAGGTCCGGCCAGGTCAAGATCCGCAATTGCAATCGCACCAAACAGGAAAAAGAACATCGACAAATTCCGGTTCGTCAAATTAAAATATAGCAGCAACAGATCGGTGACTAGAAATTATAGCACAATTCTTATATATGAAAAAAAAAAACTAACACCGTTTATTTAAATGATTGGATCCAAACTATTGGTTATTCACCAACGAGGAAGCAGATTTCTCATCTCCATCAAAATATTTATTTTATACCGAGGGACTTAAACTTTAATCAAATCCATTCAAAAGAAACTTCTTATTACAGGAATGAAAAGAGATGCTGAGTTTGGGAGAAGAGAACAAGTTCATTAAAAAAAAAAAAAGCAGTTTTGAATTATCCTTATCCCCGTTACAAAAATCTACAAAAATATATATATATATTTGGGCAGAAACTGAACATATGCTGGATGATTGTGGGATTTTTTTAATATGTCATATTAAATTAAGCACTCACAGGGTTCATACAGGAATGAGTGACTCTAATTTAATGCTATTTTAATGCTATTAGAAATGATTTTAATGCCATCAACAAGAACCATGTACACAAGTTACAGGTGCTGGTCATAAAATTAGAATATCATGAAAAAGTAGATTGATTTCAGTAATTCCATTTAAAAAGTGAAACTTGTATATTATATTCATACATTACATACAAACTCATATATTTCAGATGTTTATTTTGTTTAATTTTGATGATTACAAATGACAACAAATGAAAATCTCAAATTCATCATATCAGAAAATTAGAATATTACTGAAGACCAATAAAAACAAAGGATTTATAGAAATGTTGGCCAACTGAAAAGTATGAACATGAAAAGTATGAGCATGTACAGCACTCAGTATTTAGTTGGGCCTCCTTTGGCCTGTATTACTGCAGCAATGCGGCGTGGCATGGAGTCGATCAGTCTGTGGCACTGCTCAGGTGTTATGATAGCCCAGGTTGCTCTAATAGTGGCTTTTAGCTCTTCTGAATTGTTGGGTCTGGTGTATTGCATCTTCTTCTTCACAATACCCCATAGATTTTCTATGGGGTTAAGGTCAGGAGAGTTTGCTGGCCAATTAAGAACAGGGATACCATGGTCCTTCAACCAGGTACTGGTAGCTTTGGCACTGTGTGCAGGTGCCAAGTCCTGTTGGAAAATGAAATCTGCATCTCCAAAAAGTTGGTCAGCTGCAGGAAGCATGAAGTGCTCTAAAACGTCCTGGTATGTGGCTGCGTTGACCCTGGACCTCAGAAAACACAATGGACCAACACCAGCAGATGACATGGCACCCCAAACCATCACTGACTGTGGAAACTTTACACTGGACTTCAAGCAACGTGGATGAAGTGCCTCTCTTCTTTTCCTCCAGACTCTGGGACCTTGATTTCCAAAGGAAATGCAAAATTTACTTTCATCAGAGAACATGACTTTGGACCACTCACCAGCAGTCCAGTCCTGTTTCTCTTTAGCCCAGGCAAGACGCTTCTGACGCTGTCTGTGGTTCAAGAGTGGCTTGACACAAGGAATGCGACAGCAGAAACCCATGTCTTTCATACGTCTGTGTGTGGTGGTTCTTGAAGCACTCACTCCAGCTGCAGTCCACTCTTTGTGAATCTCCCCCACATTTTTGAAGGGGTTTTGTTTCACAATCCTCTCCAGGGTGCGGTTATCTCTCTTGCTTGTACACTTTTTTCGACCACATCTTTTCCTTCCCTTCGCCTCTCTATTAATGTGCTTGGACACTGAGCTCTGTGAACAGCCAGCCTCTTTAGCGATGACCTTTTGTGTCTTGCCCTCCTTGTGCAAGGTGTCGATGGTCGTCTTTTGGACAACTGTCAAGTCAGCAGTCTTCCCCATGATTGTGTAGCCTATAGAACTTGACTGAAAGACCATTTAAAGGCTTTTGCAGGTGGTTTGAGTTAATTAGCTGATTAGAGTGTGGCACCAGGGGCCATCAATTTTGAACCTTTTCACAATATTCTAATTTTCTGATATGATGAATTTGAGATTTTCATTTGTTGTCATTTGTAATCATCAAAATTAAACAAAATAAACATCTGAAATATATGAGTTTGTATGTAATGTATGAATATAATATACAAGTTTCACTTTTTAAATGGAATTACTGAAATCAATCTACTTTTTCATGATATTCTAATTTTATGACCAGCACCTGTATTAGTGTACATGAAATATGAAGGAGCTGCAAGCAGAGTTCCATGACTCCTGTATGTATGTAAACACACACACATATATACGTATATATATATCCTCTAGCTTTTTCTCCGCCTGGAGCGGTATAATATATCTGACGAAATTGTTTTTATAAGCATTTTTTATTAAAGAATTATAAATACTTCGATAAACATATTTAAATAATTTTAGTGCCAATTAAGGCCTTGATTTAAAAAAAAAATGAATGAATTTTTAATTATTTTTATTGATCCGCGGAAACCCTGGTTCTTCTTGCGCATGCTCTTTATGATCTCCAAGAAACTCAGAGCGGAGCGGTCTGCAGCCACAGTGGAGGATGTATGCTTTGCTTTGTGCAGGCGGTCTGGAGCGTCTGGATTTTGGGGTAAAACTCCTCTTGGACGCGATGGCGACTGCATCGAACAAGACGAACTCAAAGAAGAGATGCTAGCGGTAAATATATGTTCGATTACTGCCTGCAAGGCTAATAGCAGCCTAGCCTAAAGCTACGGCTAATAGCAGCCTAGCCTAAAGCTACGGCTAATAACCGCCTAACCTAAAGCTACGGCTAATAGTAGCCTTGCAAGAACAAGCATTATTAAAGTGTATTTTTTGTGATTCACAGGAAGCAGTACGGCGTCTTCACAACTCGGAGACTAATTAGATTTTTTATTCATACCACTCTCATTTAATTGTTTTCCAGCTGCCTGTAAGACGTATTTTGAGACGGTACGCAGGAGCTTCAGATATACGCAGCCAGCCAACACATTGCTTGCGGAGGCTGCCAAGCAATCTGCTCGGAGTTGGGCTAGAAGAAAGAGGGTAAGACTTTATTTGGTGACTATTTTTCAGGTGCATTGATAGATGTGTTGTGTCCATACGCAGTGCGCTGATTCATTGTTTTTTTTTCAGGTGCTGAAAGCGAGGCAGAGTGTGCTAGCAGATGAGGAAGTGGAACTCTGGAAGTCCGCCACCGTCGGCCTCATGTCCGACGAAGAAGATGGCGTCGTTGGCGGTGTCTCTGGATGGATTGTACGGTCGCCGCCATTTCGTAGGCCGGATCTCCCTGAACTCTGTGTTAAGCTGCAGTCCCGGTTAGAAGCGATGCCGAAGTACAGGGCCACGCACAGTAGGCGTCTGCACATCGGACCTGCCTCGGAGGGAATGCTGCCAGTTACCTCCAACCCGAGGAAGCAAACGGACCGTTCACAGAGTTTTAATTTTTAGAAACGCATGTGTTTGGATACGCGTTGTATATAGTTGTGTGTGTTTCAATAAAGCTCTTTCTTTGCATAAACTGCTTCCTGGCAAATGTTCATTTCCTGTATAAATTCATTCATGTCCTTGATGGTAGCATAATAATTGTGTAGTGGTGTAGGATAACATAAATACACACCATATGAATGAATAAATATATGAATGAATAAATATATATTCATAAATATATATATATGTAAATATATATATATGCCAACCAATCACGAGCGACTTTACTTGTTTAAAAAGAAGTGGTTCCGTCCAATACTCAGTAAGAAAATTAAAGCCTGGCGTGGCCACGTGTGGTTTTGCTGCCAATCGCGAGCGATTTCACTTGTTTGAGAATAGTGGTTTCAGCCAATACTGAGTAGGTTATTCAAGCCAGACCTGGCCAGCCGCGCGGGTTTGCTGCATTCATATGCTAATTAGGGCCATTAGTACAGCTGATCGCTCTCCACATACGTCAGAGTCCGTTTCCGACAATTTGTGGCACTACAAACGCGGACAAGCACGGGTTGCAAATTGTCGGAAACTGACGAAAATCAGGGAAATCTGCGGGAGTTTACGGGGACGAA